CTAAGGGAAATTATGGTGAAAGTATACCTCGAACTGTATGAGTTACAAATCGTGAATTAATTCCGAAATTAAGAACTGAATATTTTTTGTAAAAAGCAGAAAAAGTTATCGTGGCTTAGGTGGATACCCTTCTTGTATTTAAGTGTTGGTTTTGCAGGCATCTAACTGTGTACAGGTTTCGACAGCAGCTGATGTCAGAGAATCACTGGAAAACCACAGAGTACTGCACAGACGTTTCATCCGAGCTTAGGGTTCTCCATTATTACGCACCGATCGGGATCTCATTGAATGAAAGATCAGTTTATAGGCGAATGGTTCTAGGTCCTGGGTTTTTTGATGAGGAGTTCTAAACTAGGGCGAAATAGCTGTCCAGTACTACGTGGTTTTTGCTGTAGTTGAGTTCTATGAGTTGATGGATAGATTAAGTGCTCCCCTGGATGTCAATGCTAACCAATGTGAACTACACTAATGGAATCCTACTTGTATGAAACATTGATTTCCCCTGGTGATCTTCGGTACGATTAACGATTTTTATAGATTTACTTACTTTGAATATCACAATAAAGAGCAATCCGTATCAATAAAAAGCCATATGTCAGGTCAAAGAATAGACAAATATGAAGAATATATTATTATTATATTATTGTATCCTTTAGTTCCTAGAGGAACATAGGGCTTCAGCTGCGCACCTCCATTGACTTCGGTTTTCTGACAACTTTTTCACCCTGCTCCAGGTCTGTCCACATGCTTTCATCTCCTTCTCGCATGACCTCCTCCAAGTCACCCTTGGACGACCAACTCGCCGCCTCCCTTTCGGGTTCCACTCGAGGGCTTGTCTAGTGATGTCACTTGATGGTTTCCTCAGCGTATGGCCAATCCATCTCCATTTCTTTCTGCCTATTTGTTTCACAATCGGTTCCTGATTGGTTCGCTCCCAGAGATCCCTGTTGCTGATCTTTTCTGGCCATCTGATCTTGAGTATTGAGCGGAGACAGTTGTTAATGAAGGTTTGAAGTTTGTTTGAGATGCTCTTTATGACTCGCCAAGTCTCTGATCCGTATAGTAGCACTGACTTCACATTGGAGTTGAAAATCCGGATCTTATTTTTGATGCTGATTGCTGTTGACCTCCACACAGATTTGAGAGTAATGAAAGCTTGTCTTGCTTTTCCGATTCTGGCTTTGATGTCCTCGTCAGTTCCGCCTGTAGTTGAGACGATGCTTCCCAGGTAGGTGAAGGAGGTTGTTTCTTTCAGGTTCTTCCCATTTATGCTTATTGTTGTCTGTTGTTGTTGTTGCTGTTGATGTTGGCTAGGAATCTTCATTATCTCTGTTTTATCTATGTTCACGTGAAGTCCTATCTTTGATGCTTCTTCTGCCAACTTGTTACTTTTCACTTGCATATCTTCCAGTTTATGGGAAATCAGACATATATCATCGGCGAAATCCAGATCCTCCAAGTCTTTTGTGTCAGTCCATTTTATGCCTGTTCCCTCGTTGGTTGCCGTTGTCTGTCGCATTATCCAATCAATTGCAATCAGGAAGATCATTGGTGATAGTAGACAGCCTTGCCTCACTCCCGTCCTCACTTCGAAGGCTTCCGTAAGTTTCCCGTTGTGGATTACTTGGCATGCAGCATTGTCGTATAACTGTTGGATGAGGTGTATAATTGTCGATGGGACCCCGTAGTAGCGAAGTAGTTTCCAAATGACCTCTCGATCGACGCTGTCGAAGGCCTTTTCAAAGTCGATGAAGTTGAGATAGAGAGGTGACTGCCATTCCAAGCTTTGTTCAATGATGATCCGTAGAGTGGCGATTTGATCAATACATGATTTGTTTCTCCTGAATCCAGCCTGTTCCGGACGAAGTTTTTCATCTAGGGCTTGTTTGATTCTCTCCAGGATGATGCGACTTAGTATCTTGCTTGGAATGGACAGAAGCATAATTCCACGCCAGTTTTTACATTGACTTAAGTCTCCTTTCTTTGGAAGTTTGAATAAGTAACTGTTCTTCCAATCCTCGGGTACTTTGCCCTCTTTCCACACCTTCTCCAGCAGTGGTGTCATCAAGTCCGCTGTTGTCTCTGGGTCTATTTTCAAAGCCTCTGCTGGGATTCCATCTGGTCCCGGTGTTTTCCCAGCTTTAAGCATCTTGATTGCATTCAGGACTTCTGATTTCGTCGGGGGGTCAGTGTTCACTGGTAGTTCTGCTTCCGTTGTTGGTATTGCTGGACGTGTTGTAGGTGGCGGACGATTTAGAAGTCTTTTGAAGTGTTCAACCCAGTGCTTTCTCTGTTCCACCTCTTTGGTGATTGACTTTCCATTGTCGTCCTTTATTGGCTTAATCTGTGTCGAACGTTTGCCCGAAAGGTTCCTAGTTGTTTGGTAGAGTGTGGCGAGGTCTCCTTTGCCTGCAGCTTGTTCTGCTTCGTTTGCCATGGTTTCATAATATTTTCTTTTGTCTTCCCTGGCACTTTTCTTCACTCTTTTGTTCAGTGTATTGTAGCTTGCATTCAGCTCCTGTTTTTGTTGCTCGTCAGTGCACTGGATAATCTTTTGCTTCACTGTCCTTCTCTCTTCTATTAGTTTCCAAGTGTCCGTAGTGAGCCACTGTTTGTCCTGTCTCTTTTTTCTGCCTAGAATTTCTATGCAGGTTTGGCTCCACACCGTTTTCAAGTTGTTCCAGTGCTTTTCGACGACCTTTTCGCTGGTGTTGATTTGTATCTCAGCTTTGTCCTTTATGCTTGCAATGAAGATGTCCTTTGTAGCCTGGTCCTTCAGCTTTTGAGTGTTGAACTTGGCTTGTGGTCTATCTGCAGCTCCTGATTCCCTGAAAGCTTTTAATTTGAAGAATATAGGTTAGTACTAACATAAGTCGCAATTTATGTGAACAAACTATCATGAGGAGAGACACCTGCATCCAACTCATTCAGAATGCCTGAGGCTCACTTCCTTCTGAAGTCAACAGTGAATACAATACCCAGCAGAACAACGATAGCCTATATATATATATATATGAAAAACATTGGAACTGTGGTAGTAGCTAATTCCATATTAATTTGTTTATTAGATGTATCACACAGTGAGTGAAACAGTATTATTATTTGCTGGATGACAAGGTTTCAACAAAATTTATTGTGGTTCACCATCATATCAGTTATAATCCACACGACTTCGAAACTTGAGTTTTATAGTTTTCTTTATCCTCTCTGATTTGTTGTCAGGGTAGCAGAATTTCCCAGATATCTGAGTAAACACGTGATGAATCATTCTTGTTACACATTCCCATTACAGAGATTGACAACAGAAGATTTGTTCATCGAATTACCAGCAATTACGTGGAATAGAAATGATTCAACAACGTGTTCACCTAGTTATCTGGGAAATTCTACTACCCCGACGACAAATAATAGGAGAGAATAAAGAAAACCATAGAATGAAAATCTCGACGTTGTATCATTATAATTGATACGACTATAGATATGATAGAGACGATTTGAAGCTCAGTTGGTTGATTTTGATGTGGTTATGTTCTCTGAGCTGGATGGTTAATTTGTGAAGTCGACGACACATTTGCAATGATCAAAAGAAACGAGTTAGATAAAACTCACAACTTCATAAACAACGTCTTCAGCGACATCAGATTCACAAGAGAGAAAGAATTTGAGAACCGAATTCCATTTTTTATCGTCTTAGTCAAGCGAACAACCACAAGGGAATTAGAAATTAAAGTTTATAGAAAATCAAATCACACAGACCAAATCCTGAATTACAACACCAACAATCCAATAAAACACAAAAGGAATTGCATACAAACACTATTCGAAAGAGCCAGTCAGGACTCATCGCAGTACTCCCACCTTAAGGAAAATTGAAGAAAAGTATCTCATGGACGTCTTCCAAAAGAATGGATATCCACGGTATTTCATCAAAAGACATATACCCCGAAGCCAACCTATCAAAGCAAAAGCCATCAAGGAAAGCACAAAGAAAATCGCCTTACCATACATAAAGGATATCTCAGAAATCACTGCAAACCTTTAGGAATTGACGTTGTACACAAACCAACAAAGTCACTTCACTCAATTCTATGTCAACCAAAAGACTCAACAGCGAGCGAAAGAAGATAAAACCAACATCATCTACAAAATAAATTGTAACAACTGGGAAAAACGCTACAGTAGCCAAAGTGAACAACGTCCCCTTTGTCTTCATTTCCATGAACATAAGCTAGCCGTCAAAAGACATGATATCCACTCCCTCATATCACTACATACAGACAACCACGGACATCAATTCGACGGCGACAACCAACGTTCAAATATTAGACAGAGGAAACAACATGAATGCTAGAGAATGGTTTTAGAAGCCTGTCTGGTATTCCAATGAATCATCAATCAATAGACACATGGAGATAGACAAAATTTATCAACCGATAAGGACGAAACCTCACACACACACAAAGTGTCAAAGTTCAAATCAAAGAAACAATCAATTCCAATACAAGTAGCTGCCTATAAGGTGTGAAAACACACAAAAACAACCAATCATGTCCAAGGTCGAGTCATCAGGAGAGATGACTAATAAACTCGTGGAGAAATCTAAAAGCTCACTTCAAATTGAAGTAGTATGTACTGAAGGTGTCACCCAGTAGAACGATGAAAGCCTAGAAAATTAACCATCCAGCTCAAAGAACACAACCACATAAAAAATGGTATGGTTGTGAACCACAATCAATTGTGTTCGAAACCCTGTCATCCAGTAAATAATATGGCTTCATTGTATGATATATCTAATAAACAAAAATAATGTGGAAAAATGATGGCTTCCATTTCGTTCATTCAACTGATTTCTGTATTCAGCTGACAGGATGTTTCTAAAAATAAAATTTTAGGAGAATAATGTTTCACTACTCAAGAACTTAAAATTCTCTATTTTGCATGATAAGAAGTTGATTTTTTTGTTTTTAATTCTCAATAAACTTTGAATTTTTCTACTGCAGGTGACAATATTTCATGAATGCAGACCAGAATTTCTACATGATATTGTCTTGAAAATGCGACCGCTTGTATTTACGCCCGGTGATTTAATCTGTCGGAAAGGAGAAATTGCCCGTGAAATATTTATTATTGCTGATGGTGTACTTGAAGTTATAAGGTAAGCAAAAAACAGTCAGGAAATAATTTGATAAGTAATCAAAAGATTTTTCCTGAATAATGTAAACTACACTTAATCAGTTTTTATCATTCCCTAATAGACGAATTCAAAGTTTTTATTTTTATTTTATTTTTGATTTACAGCTTGATTCCACACTGTATTTTTGGTACAAGTATGAAATTTTCAGCATGGATATCGGTAGCCCAAATTTTGCAGGCTGACCATATATATCAGGTGTGCGCCGGCGTGGGCTCGAATCCCGGACCATTTGCATGGTCGGCGAGAGTCCTAACCACTATGCCACCGACGCATAGTGTCCTGAGGACGTACTTTTGCGTCCTTTCTAGTGGGGTATTCCGAAGAGATAAACTGAGACTCATGAATTTCGAATACCAACCATTCACATAAGTGCTGTCTTAAGAAGCTAAGAAATTCATCAGGATAGCCTTCTTTTTCTTAACTACTGTTCTTACAATGAAATCCACTCCAAAATTCCCTGTAAAACTATAAAGAATTAAGATAAGACTGCCTGATATCACTGGTAATATTCTCGAATGTGATAGACTGTATCGTGTGGTATTCTGTGGCACACTTTGGACTGATGACAAAACTCTAGAAGATCATAAGTTCGTGGACGACCTGTTTATGGTGTCACGAAGACCCAGAAATCTGCTGGTAGAAGTAAATAGATGTTTTTTCTTATTTTCGCTTGATTCCACACCGTATTTTTGGAACAAGATTTTATTTTGATAGATCATACAGTGTTTTATAGTTATATTAAGTGATAATATAATAATAGTAGTAATATAATAAATATAATATATAATAATATAATAATAGTTAATATAACTGTACAACACTGTGTGATTTATCAAAATAAAATCTTATCCATAATGGACTTATACTCTACCACAGTGCCCAAGTTTTATACTTATATCAGTTTTTGGAACAAGTGTGTAGTTTTCAGCGTGCGACATCGGTAGCTCATATCTGAAGGCCAACCGTTGGTATCCGGTGTGCGTCGCCAAAGGCTCGAAACCCGAACCATGTGCATAGTTAGCGAAAGTCTTAACATCTGTGCCACCAACGCACAGAAGTTTAGCCGAGAAGACAGGATTTCAAGTAAAAACATAGAGAAGACAGAAGGGATGAAAATTACATGAACAGTGACAAGCATCACTGATCTTAATCAAAGGGAGACTTCTAAAGGAACTCATCTCTTAAATTAAGAAAGATACTTTATTGTTTCAGCTACGAGTGGCACATATGAAGATGTTTAGGCCAACCAAAATCGGAAAAGTAAGTTGGACCTTCAATGCTCTGGAATCAGTGTGTACAAAGTATACTGCACTTAGCATGAGAAAGACGATCGCGTCCTTCAATACTACTGTTCAATCGATGTTTCGGTATGGTTGCTGCGGAATTCCAACAACGCCTGGCGTCAGTTTGCATGAAGAAGTGATGGCATGCCAGAAAGGATAAGAAATAAGGAACTCTGGCAGTGAAGCGAAGCAAACAAGAACCGATCACCCACGAAAAACACAGAAAGAAATAGAGAGGGATTGGACATTGCTGATGAGATCATTATGCAATTTCACACGCAGGTAAGCTTTTCAGCGAAATCCGTATGAAAAGCGAAGAATTGGGTGTGCCTCTGAGCCTCACGTGGTAGAGGCCAAATGAGGAGAAGGCTAGAACCTACGGGTGATCATGGCACTAACTGAAAACAGCTGCACACAAGAAGATGAAGCAGAGATGGATTGTTAAAGCTCCATGTTCCACTCACAACTTTAAGGAATTATAGTGACATAACTATGCTACCAATAATGAGGTTGTTAATGCTAGATAAATGATATGGATAAATGAAAGTCAGTCTTATCTACATCACCAAAAAATACTGACCAGTAAGTTGTCAATAAACACAAAGAGAACTGCCAACCTCAATGTTTGTCTAATGTAAATCACCAGTCGGGGGGGGGGGTTGGGAGTAGAATAGTATTAAAATATCTCTGCGCAATAAGGTTTTGTTTTCCCGATGAAAGTACTGTCAGGTAGAGAAAAACTGTGTTTTCAAGAGGTTATATCCGGTGATGCAATTGAATCATAGGTGTGAATGCATAAAATAATAATAGTAGTATGAAATGCAATTTAAAACTAAAATGTTTGTGATTATACTCATAGTTAAATGTCAAGTAGCAAAGCAAATTAATGTCATATATAGCATAATGCATAGGATAGATAGAAGCTGAAAAAAGGTGTGCAATTATAGGATTAGTAGACAAATCGAATAAAACAAAAGACGTTATGTAATATTGTGTGAAATTTGATAGCATAGAATTTAACGTTGTAAAAAAGAATTGATTTAGAATGACAAGTGGAACAAGTGAAATAATACCGGGGACAGTTCAAAGTGAGAGTATCGATAGTAAAAATTGGCGCAATAAGGAAGAGAATACAAACTGAATAGACAAAATAAAAAAAATGAAAAATGAAAAACTGGTAGAGCTAAAATATGATTGAGGATTACCATACTTTAGCATAGACGGATTAGGACCAAGAAAAGTGGAGGGGTTGAACGAACGTTTTCTGTACACAGAGATCTGGCTTTTCTGTTTCGATAGCCATAGCTTCAGCAGTACAGATGAGTCAGGTACGTCGGGATTTGGGTAAATTACTCTTTGCCTTGTAGATTTTAATTGTTTTAAAAACTGTATTCACAAACACAGAATATAGGATGACTGCCCTAATAAATGTATGGCGTTACATATTACTGATTGACTGATGTGAGTAGCTGAATACCGGTCACATCAACTATGTCACGATACAAACCATTTTTTTAAAAGCTACAATAAATTCAATGTCTGACTTCCTAGAACTGTTAATCGATGTGAGTGACGTTCAGCTACTCATATTAATCAATCATTTATTTGCCATTTGTGATGTCAACCAGACTACATTAATTGTGATCTGAATAACTTTTGGTTTCTAAAGGTAACTGTGATGAAATTACACCTTCTCTGACTGTTTTAATTGGCAAATTGAGAAATAATTTTACAAAATGCGAAATCTAGTCAGGACAAGTTACTACTGAATACCTAGTTGTCTAGTTTAAATTTTAGTATGCTCACCACAAATGATCCAACTTTATTAATTGTTCTCTTCTTTTTGCTGCCCAGTGAAACCAATGAAGTCCTGTCAAGAATGAGTGCAGGTGATTTTTTTGGGGAAATTGGTGTGCTGAACGTTGACGGTGTAAATAAGTAAGTCTGGAATTTGTTTAATTTAATTTTAATGCCACTAGTTAAATACAATTTATGATTGGTTACTGGATATAATCGTCATCTTACGCTGCCTAGAGAAGCAATACGAAACCTATAGAGAGTACTGAAAAACCGTTTCGCCCTAGTTTTGAACTCTTCAGAGTGCACATGCGTTGTGATTTGAAAAGCAAAACTTTCTGGTTACGAAACGAGTTGTTTGACTGTTAAAACCATTGGATTCGGTCTTAGTGACCTCTTATTATTATTTCCTTTAATTCCTAGAGGAACATAGGGCTTCGGCAGTGCGTCTTCATTGTGTTTGGTTCTCTGCTAAAGTTTTCACCTGGCTCCAAGTCTGCCCACACGCTTTCATCTCCTCTTCACATGACCTCATCCAAGTCACCTTTGCACTGACGACCGACTTGCCGCTTCCCTTTCGGCTTGGTTTCACTCGAGCAATGGCTTGTCTAGTGATGTCACTTTCTTGTTTCCTCAGAGTATGGCGAATCCATCTGCATTTCTTCCTGCTTATTTGTTGCACAATCGGTTCCTGATTGGTTCGTTCATTGCTAGAGATCACTGTTTATGATCTTTTCTGGCCATCTGACCTTGAGTAGCATTGAGCGAAGAGAGCTGTTAATGAAGGTCTGTAGTTTGTTTCAGGTGCTCTTCAGGTTCCTCCCATTTTTGCTGACTGTTGTCTATCCTTGTTGATGTTGGTGTTGCCCAGGAATCTTCATCACCTCTGTTTTTCCTATGCTCACCTAAAGTCCTATCTTTGATGCTTCTTCTGTCAACTTGTTGCTTTTCTCCTGCATATCTTCCAGTTTATTGGAAATCAGACAAATACCATCTGTGAAGACCTAGTGACCTAATAGTCTACGAAGTCGCCTTGTAACCGGAAGATTTTGGTTTCCAACTTAGTCAGTGAGGGTGTGCTGCAGAAGAGTCAAAATCCAGGACGAAAAAGCTGTTCAATACTCCCTTTTTGGTTTGCCAATGGTACTGTAATCGATAATAGCGCATGATGAAATCTTGTAACAAATCATATCAAATCTTTAAAAAATTAATATTGCAATATAATTGATAATCTCATATTCACTAATCTTTTTTATCCTGTATTCATTAATTTGAATATCGTTTCCAGGACAATAAGGACTAAGCGTGCGTGACACATAATAAAAAGAATGCAATCAAACGAAATCATTCTTATGATAAGATCGAATATGGGAGTGAAAATAGTAGTATTGTGATGAGAGCTGGTTGCTAGCAGAAAATTGATAGACGGTAATTTACATCAATGTTTACGTCCCTAGTATTGGTCATGAGAAAAATGAGAACAAAGAATTTGCGTAGGCAAATGCAATTTGCAGATAGATAATCTGAACTTCAAGAAACGACCACGAAGAGATGAAAGACTAACGTTCAACGAGAAACCAACAATCAGAAGACTGTGTTTGTCTGCTAACAATAATCTATAATGATGTACATGAAAATCTATAAATATGTGTTGATTTCGTAAATAAGCGATCTGTTTCCTGGCCCTTGTCTTCTGTTCTTACGATACGACTTTGTTATTATTGTTTTTTTTGAATGTTTTCGTGGCACCTTAGTAACATCTTATTCTTAATCAACCCTTCATTTACTCTTACTAACTACCCTTTCCACACAGTTTACTTTGGACATGTACCTTCATGCTCTTTTACTGACATCTTTGTTGCACATTACTCAACCCTCGTCGATACTTACTAATCTTCAACCCCCTCCCCTACTAGTTACGATTTTTATTAAACACTTAATTTTTTAGGTGGGTTATTTTTAACATTTTGAGAAAGACCTCGTTGCTAATTCCATTCACATGTATGATATGCGTATCAGTGATATATCCACGTTAGAAGGACAGTTCGTTGATTATAATTTTATGTCGATGATTCTCTACGTTGTTTCACAAACATATCGTCGAAGAGAGGAACATGAAAGGAGCACATTCCTACAGTCTCTCTCTTGACAAAACAATTCATTATTAAACTGTAACTGTACATTCATTATACAAAAGAGTAGCACTTTCTGTAGTGTTTGAGGTAGAATTTTTAATTTTCAGTCAAGGAATTACGGATGAAGTCGGTGGTTCTCAGTAATTAGGACATTAGTTAGCTGAGAATTGATTTCCACAGAAATCATTGTTTCACCGTTGATCTTTGTTTCTCACACATTTTTGTATAAATTGAGAAGTGACCTTCAAGTCAAACTTAGACATTTTAAGTTGCCTTGATTTAAGTATGTCTGTAAGCCATTTTGCTGTCTGTTGATATATTGAGTCATTGGTCGTATTAACCGGTTAGGCAGCCCATATATTCTCGATATATTTATTCCTACAGACTGTCAACGTTTGAGAATTTGAGGAGAAAGTGCTTGGCTGTGAGACCAGAGTTTTCAGTATTGTAGGCAAGAAAAACACAATCTTCTGATTGATGGTTTCTTGTTGAAAGTTATTCTTTCACCTCTTCGTGGCCTTTCCTTGAAGTTCACATTGTCTATCTGCAACTAGTATTCGCCTACGCTAAGTCTTTGTTCTTATTTCCCTCAAGACCAATATTTTGGACGTAAACATTGACGTAAATTACTGTCTACCAATTTTGACTAACAGCCAGCTCTCACCATACTCGTCCTCCTGTCAAAGACATCCAACTGAAGTTGGTTCGATCTCCCTGGTTCTAAGGGGTTTGCTCGTTTGTCTTGCTGTCTGGAATCTCGACACTCAGTGATGTTCATCTGTTTCTCTTTGTTTACCATTGCGATTGTGTCTGCGTAACCCCATCTCAACGTGATCATATGTGATCCTTCCCACTTCAAAAACTGTTTGCCTGACACTGTCGCTTATTCATCAGTATTTTGCCCCACACTTTCATATGCTGCTTTCTCTTGACTTCTCAGCGGCATCCCAAGTAACAGCCTCATCGCTGACGGATCTTCAACGCCATTTGACTGCGCAGAAGCCGTGAAGTCCTATCTGAAGATCCATTTGTATTCATCAAAACCTGCAGGGCATAGGCTTTATATTTGTTGGAAGGCAGTGACACCAAATTTAACAACAGAAGACAAAGGCCAGGAAACAGATCACTTATTTACGAAATCAACACATATTTATAGATTTTCATGTACATCATTATAGATTATTGTAAGCAGACAAACACAGTCTTCTGATTGTTGGTTTCTCGTTGAACGTTAGTCTTTCATCTCTTCGTGGTCGTTTCTTGAAGTTCAGATTATCTATCTGCAAATTGCATTTGCCTACGCAAATTCTTTGTTCTCATTTTTCTCATGACCAATACTGAGGACGTAAACATTGACGTAATTTACTGTCTACCAGTTTGACTAGCAGCTAGCTCTCACCACACTATTACTTGAAATTTTAACCAAGGTAGAAGGAGGGAGTGGGGAAATTCCACTCTGTGCATTAATCAGGGTTTTCTATCTGGATCTCTGAAACCTCCTCGGCAATGAAAAGTATACTGAAACTGACTGTTTTCGGGAGGCTTCTTTCGACTGTGAGTGAATTCTTCTTACATTTGAGTGACATTTGAGTGAGTAAATCTCTTCAGTAATAGCACTCCTTATTGATCTTCTTTTACATTTTCGTAGTCAGGGTGGATAATGTTTATATCTCGTTCTCTATGGGCAAGTAATTTGGTAGATACAAATAGAAGCTGTCAAATGCGACAGCTTACATTTGAAGTTATTAAGGAACAATAGGCAGCTTAAAAATACCAGCTGTAATGTGGCAGCAGAAAATATTTTTTCAGGCGTTAGATATTCTTCTCCATAGGATGTCACCTTTAAACGCCATATTCACGTATAGCGAGCATCTTCTCCAGCAGAGAAATGGATTCTTCTTTGTTGATTTCTGACTGAATGTGACTGAAAATAATATGGAAGTGGGTATACTACCTCAAACACTACGGGAAATGCTACTCCATTGTAAAATGGATGGACAATTTCAGTTTTACAATGAAATGTAACATCAAGGGGAGGGTTTGGCAATGTTCAACTCTCTCGGTCCTCTTTTAGACGTCATTTTTATGGAAAATTAAGTCGCCCGATTAAAGTATAATCAAGGAACTCTCCTCTTAATATATATATATATATATCGCTTATCCATATATTGTGCATAAGAATTAAACCGATACCGAGGTCTTTCTCAAAATGTTTAATACGACTTACCAACAAATTAAGTTCACATATGAAACAGAGTAAGACAATACTTTATCATTTATTCATATCCTGATAACAAGATACCAAGATAGTAGTAGTACTGCGGTAGTGTGACACAGACAATGTGTTCCAACGGAATATTACTCTCACACATTCCCACAGTTCAATACAACATTGACAACAGAATACGCTATGTCTATTTGAACATTCTGTTTGTTGCTGAGTCAGAATATTATTCTCACAGTTCGATACTGCGTTAGCAACAGAATATTATGCATGTAGAAGTTATAAAATTATATTTGTAAAATCTCAACGAAATTGAAATCATTAATTCCAATATTTGGTTCGGCAATCTGGTCCGAACTTCTTCAGGGGAATTAATCGAAATTAACATAACAGAGGTTTATATATAAAAGGAACATCTCTTGTTTCTAAAGTCTTTGTTCAATCATGAATCAGTCATCAAAAATTTAATGAACAAAAGTGCATGAACTGTGATCAAAATTTGACCTCAACCTTTCAAAATTAGTCTACTTTTGTTAAAAATATATGTGTATATGTAGTATACAATGGTGTGTGTGTGTGGGTGAACAATCATAACACATTTGTTATTCTCTCCATAAGAAAACGTAGATAATCGGGAATTTGATCAAGTGTGACTAGTTGTTGATACATATCCAACTTTTATTTATTAGTCAGAATTTGCCATGCATCAGCTAACATCACACCCTCACGTCTGTTTAAACTGTTGGGATTCACCCATATATGTAGGGCTTCTGCAGTCAGTCTTTCTTGATATGAACCAAAACCTTTCTGTAAAACTTTAGTCTTATCAAAGTCGATCTTGTGTCCCGTTTCTATCGAATGCAGTGCTATTGCTGAGTTGTTTTCTAGCTTCTTCAGGCCTGCAGAGGTCTTTGGAACCCCCTTTAGACATTGTTTATGCCATTTCACTCTTATATTTACCTGTTTGGAAGTTTATCTTACATATACTGCATTACAATCCCCACAATTGATCTAGTATACGCAGTTCTGCTGGTTTTCTTGTTCTATTTTATCCTTAACCTTCACTAGTAATGAGCGTAAGGTGGTAGTCGCATGAACATACACTCTTATGTTATGATCGTTAAGGATTCGTTTTATTTCATCGGATGTTTCTTTGCTGTAAGGAACCACTGCTGTACTAACCCAATTCTTAGCAGCAAACTTCGATTCACTCTTATCTTCACATTTTAAATATCTTTTTATAAAGTCTTTAGGATAATTATTTGATTCAAGAGTGGATTGGACCAATTTTAGTTCCTTGCTAATATCTTCCTCCTCAGTAACTAGACGTTTGGCTCTGTTGATCGGATTCTTGGCCACAGTTATTTTGGTGGTAATTGGGTGAGCTGAATAGTAATCTAGGTATCTATCCAAATTTGTCGCCTTTCTGAAAATCTTTATTTTAAATTTTCCGTCTAATTTTCTTTTTACTAAACAGTCCAGGAACGCCAACTCATTTTCATCGGATTCAACATCTTTGGAGAACTTGATGGTTTCTGACATTATATTATTATTGTATCCTTTAGGTCCTAGAGGAACATAGGGCTTCAGCTGCACACCTCCATTGCCTTCGGTTTTCTGACAACTTTTTCACCCCGCTCCAGGTCTGTCCACATGCTTTCATCTCCTCCTCGCATGAACTCCTCCAAATCACCCCTGCACTGAAGACCAACTCGCCGCCTTTCTTTCGGGTTCCACTCGAACGATGGCTTGTCTAGTGATGTCACTTGATGGTTTCCTCAGAGTATGGCCAATCCATCTCCATTTCTTCCTGCCTATTTGTTCCTGGTTCCTGGTTGGTTCGCTCATTGCCAGAGATCCCTGCTGCTGATCTTTTCTGGCCATCTGATCTTGAGTATTGAGCGGAGACAGCTGTTAATGAAGGTTTGAAGTTTGTTTGAGATGCTCTTTATGACTCGCCAAGTCTCTGATCCGTATAGTAGCACTGACTTTACATTGGAGTTGAGAATTCGGATCTTATTTTTGATGGTGAGTGCTGTTGACCTCAACACAGACTTAAGAGTAATGAAAGCTTGTCTTGCTTTTCCGATTCTGGCTTTGATATCCTCGTCAGTTCCGCCTGTAGTTGAGATGACGCTTCCCAGTTAGGTGAAGGAGGCTGTTTCTTTCAGGTTCCTCCAATTTATGCTGGCCGATTGTTGTCTGTTGTTGTTGTTGCTGCTGATGTTGGCTGGGAATCTTCATCACCTCTGTTTTATCCATGTTCACTTAAAGTCCTATCTTTGATGCTTCTTCTTCCAACTTGTTGCTTTTCACTTGCATATCTTCCAGTTTGTGGGAAATCAGAAATATATCATCGGCGAAATCCAGATCCTCCAAGTCTTTTGTGTCAGTCCATTTTATGCCTGTTCCCTCGTTGGTTGCCTCGTTTGTGGTTTCTGACATACTGTTTATTAAGTTAAAAAGTTCATTTAACAAACTACGTTTAATTATGACGAAAGTATCATCTACGTATCTTAACCACATCTTTGGGGGACTAGGGCATTTGCTTCTAATGAGTGCATAAACAGATTTGCGACTAGCGAAAATACTGGTGATCCCATAGCAATGCCTCCTCTTTGACGATAAAGAACCCTGCCAGATGTAAATAAGGTGGATCGAAGACACAATTCTAATACCTTCATAATTTTGTCGGGTTGTATACGTGTTGATACCTGTTTCATGTGACAGGATAAACAATTTAAAAACAAGAGATATCCTTTTATATATAAACATACAGTTTATTTACTAATTTTGAATGTCTGAGGTCAAATTTTGATCACAGTTCATGCACTTTTGTTCATTAAATTTTTGATGACTGATTCATGGACAAAGGTTCAAGAACAAGAGATGTTCTTTTTATATATAAACCTCTGTTATGTTACTTTCGATTAATTTCACTGAAGAAGTTTGGACCAGATTTCTTAACGAAACATTAATAGGAATTAATCATTTCAATTTCACTGAGATTTTACAAATATAATTTTATAAATGCCTACTTCTCACTCGGCGCTCAATTATTTTGCAACTATCCGGTCAAATCTTGATTACAGTTCATATGAATTATGTTGAAGTTATTTGGTGGATGGTGATTAGCATTGGAATGGGGGGGTGACCATTTCGTCCCATTTGGGGCTCTTCGTCTTGGTGTACCTATATTCCGCAGTGAGTTATGATGTTCCCACCAAGGTTCGAACCAATTTACTTCTGATCACATGCCTAGGCATCGTCGAAACATGTGCACAAGAAGCCGACATGTTAACCTGAGACTAAGCACCTCAATCCAATCAACCTACGGGAAAGTCTAAAATTAAATTAAAGAATACTGTGTATATTTGAACATTCGATTTCATGTCATTTAATGTAAGCCAAAACCATACGCTCAATGATTGGTTAGAGAATATTAAACTGTGTCTGTATGAATAGTGGCTTGGTCCCTTGAAAGTATACTTTGGCTACGAAGTCTTGCATTTTATTATTACAGCACTGTCGAAGACGCTCCAGATTAATAATCACTATGCATATTTCTCGACTTTAACTCCAAAACACCAGTACTTGTTAGAAGGTTGTTTTGTTTGGCAATTAAAATCAAGATAAATACAAGTCTATAAACAAATGTTTTACACTAAATATAATGTACTTCCATTCATATTGTTTCATCTTCTTCCAACTTGTATACGATTGAACCATTCGCGCCTTCGAGTTGCCTGCCAATGGCTAACAGTTCCAATAAACATGCGTTCACTGTTCGTGTCTATTCACAAGCATTATGCAGGGTGCTGTATTAACTTACATATTGTTATCTTAGTTTCACAATATATTAATTTATTATTCTATTGCCTAATCACTACGAGATAGTGATTATTCCCCCCGCCCTACGTCTCCAAGTATGCACATTCTACTTACACATTCACGACAATTAACCATCTGCATTATGTGAATCGACGGATGAATTTATCCTTGTTATTATTATGACTACCAGGATGGATTCATATTACATTGTGTAACCATAATACCTCTAAAGAGATTATAGAAAAATATCATTCAGATTGTGTTATGCAAGTATCAGAATGGTATCTCTCAGTATCATAAAGGCAGTGTCCAAGTGTAAAATATTGTTTTAAATCCCTTGCAGTTATAACTGTTGTAACGACAAAAGACAAGGGCCCGGTAACTGATCATTTATTGAGAAAATCAACAGATATTTATAGATTTTTATCCATATTATTATTAGCATTATTGTAGTTAGCAGAGAAGCAGCGTCTCCTGACTGGCTGCTTTCTTCCTGAAGGTTATTCTGCACTGGTTGTGACCATTTCTTGGAAAGTTAAGCCATATATCTGCGTATCGTATTTGCTCACATTAAGTCTGCTGTGATTGGTTGATGAGTTCCTCAAGGTTAAGCCTTGTTATTGCTTTTCTCATGATGACGATTCCGGATGTAACATTGACGTAAATTGCTATCTACAATACTTCAACATTAGTTTCACACTTGCCAATAATCAGTTGTTTGGGTCAAAAGAGTTCGTGGTTCGGAATTTCCACACTAGTGAAATATCATCCGTTAGACCAAAGATAGACGGTTTTCTAAACACATATCTCATTGATTATAACACTTTGAAAAATGGCCAATAAGAACCTCCTGAAATAACTGCTTGGTGCATAATCAAAAATATCCCAGAAATTCGCGTTTTATTTTTCCTAAACAAACTGAGATTATTTTGCATATTATTTTATGACGACACGGTCAAGCTGGAGTCATAAGCTGTTCTTAGAAAACCTACATAATCTATGGTCTGAGCATAAATAGTATGCTGTCTATGCATTTATCAGGATGGCGTGACGCGATAAACGTCCGTATGAAATTGAAAACTTGTGTAAAGAAATACCAACAATGAATCTTTTTTTTAGGAGGAAACAGCTTCAAATGAAAATAAAGCTTCAATAATTGTGGCATTAAATTTAACCCTTTTCTCCCGCGTTTTTCTTTCTTTCTCATTCGATCTAGGCGAACAGCTGATGTACGTGCTGTTGGCTACGCCGAGTTATTTGTTTTATCTAGAGAAGATATACTGAAGGCCTTAAAAGATCATCCAGAAGCTGAGGTACGATTGCATAATTTTTCTGTTGACATTCATTTTCTTTATTACTGATACTAATTGTTACACGACTGCTTAAAGGCCTTAATTTTCACTTCACACTACCTACTCCTCCACTTGGACACACGTCCAACTATAGTCGTTTCGCCGCTCAGGTTTCATTCGAGTGAAATCCATTACTATTTCATTCCGCATATTCGTTGAGTGACACATTGTTTCTTGGTTAGTTTGTGACCTGAGTTCCCTGATGCTTGTCCATTCCGTATGATCTAGAGTATGCAGACGTATACAGGATTTTAGAAACGATTATCCAAACTATTTAGAAGCAGTAAGCAAAAATTAGTGCCAAAAATCAGGATCTTGCCCCTGGTGATATTTTCTTGCATTACTGATTCTTGCTATGTCTGTCTGCAGATGAGGCCGTGCTGCCAAAGTAGGTAAATGATACGACTGAATTCGCGTTTCTCCCACTTATGGTAATTAAAGCCTGTTGATGTGTTTTTGCGTATCGTCGTTATTTCTGTCTTGTCTATACTTACTTGACTTTTTGTCTTCGCGCATCTGATACCACCTCGGTGGATTTTGCTTCTAAATCCTTGAGTATATGAGGTGCGAGACGTAAATCACCACTTTAATTCGTGTCTTCTAGGGGAGTGTAATATTTTCAGATCGTGGAAAACACGCATAAGGACATTAAAAAAAAAGAGAACACGAAGTTCAGCAAAGACACCAACAATAAGGAATGTTAATCATCAACAATAATTCCATACAAAGAAGGAACCTCGGAAGCCTTACGCAGAATTCTTAACAAGGCAGGAATAAAAGTGGCATTCAAACCCACAAACTCAATTAGAAACAAGCTTTGTCGGTTAAAGGATCCTGTAGAGCCATTAAAACAAAACAATTTAGTTTATCTAATACCGTGCCTGAAATGATTGTCAGGTCAAATACATAGGTCAAACTAGTAGAACAGGGGCAGTCAGACTAGCCGAACATAAAAACCTAGCTAAATCTAGATTGGTTGACCCGAATAAGATAACAAGAAATCTGGAGAATAGTTCAGCTATAGCACTACATGCAGTTACACACAACCATACAATAGGATGGGATAGGATGACAGTTTTAAAATCTAATGTCACAGGGTATAGGGAGAGATTGATAACAGAAGCTTTGTTTATCGAATCAACTGCAAATACATGTAATAGGAATGATTCAACACCTGTCCCAGATGTATGGAAAATTCTACCGCCCATACAACAAATAGGAGAAGACAAAGAAAGCTATAAAAATCAAATCTCGAAGTCGTGTGACAAAAATTGATATTTTCTATAGTTTTTGGTTTGTAAGGATTAGTTATGTTTTACGAGTTGATCACGGATTGATATCAGTTAGAGAACCATTGAAAACCAGGGAGTACTGGACAGCTGCTGTTTCATCCTAGTTTGGGAATCATCGGCAGTACGCACCCACTGGGTTTCGAACCCAGGACCTTCCGGTTACAAGGCAAGCTCGTATACCATTCAGCCACTGGGACCCGATTCAATGGCTCGTGAATTCTAACTTCTACCAATTCGTGATTTAGCGCGACCCCAACCATTGTCGTTGGTGGGACATCCATCCACACACGTGACATCTAATTGGACCTCACTGGTCACGACTTCTCACTAGAACTCAGGAAACTCCAACCTGTAGCAAGTCACTAGCGAGCATCAGATTAACTTTCTATAGTTTTTGGTTTGTAAGGATTAGTTATGTTTTACGAGTTGATCACGGATTGATATCAGTTAGAGAACCATTGAAAACCAGGGAGTACTGGACAGCTGCTGTTTCATCCTAGTTTGGGAATCATCGGCAGTACGCACCCACTGGGTTTCGAACCCAGGACCTTCCGGTTACAAGGCAAGCTCGTATACCATTCAGCCACTGGGACCCGATTCAATGGCTCGTGAATTCTAACTTCTACCAATTCGTGATTTAGCGCGACCCCAACCATTGTCGTTGGTGGGACATCCATCCACACACGTGACATCTAATTGGACCTCACTGGTCACGACTTCTCACTAGAACTCAGGAAACTCCAACCTGTAGCAAGTCACTAGCGAGCATCAGATTAACTTTCTATAGTTTTTGGTTTGTAAGGATTAGTTATGTTTTACGAGTTGATCACGGATTGATATCAGTTAGAGAACCATTGAAAACCAGGGAGTACTGGACAGCTGCTGTTTCATCCTAGTTTGGGAATCATCGGCAGTACGCACCCACTGGGTTTCGAACCCAGGACCTTCCGGTTACAAGGCAAGCTCGTATACCATTCAGCCACTGGGACCCGATTCAATGGCTCGTGAATTCTAACTTCTACCAATTCGTGATTTAGCGCGACCCCAACCATTGTCGTTGGTGGGACATCCATCCACACACGTGACATCTAATTGGACCTCACTGGTCACGACTTCTCACTAGAACTCAGGAAACTCCAACCTGTAGCAAGTCACTAGCGAGCATCAGATTAACTTTCTATAGTTTTTGGTTTGTAAGGATTAGTTATGTTTTACGAGTTGATCACGGATTGATATCAGTTAGAGAACCATTGAAAACCAGGGAGTACTGGACAGCTGCTGTTTCATCCTAGTTTGGGAATCATCGGCAGTACGCACCCACTGGGTTTCGAACCCAGGACCTTCCGGTTACAAGGCAAGCTCGTATACCATTCAGCCACTGGGACCCGATTCTAGTGAGTTCTAGTGAGAAGTCGTGACCAGTGAGGTCCAATTAGATGTCACGTGTGTGGATGGATGTCCCACCAACGACAATGGTTGGGGTCGCGCTAAATCACGAATTGGTAGAAGTTAGAATTCACGAGCCATTGAATCGGGTCCCAGTGGCTGAATGGTATACGAGCTTGCCTTGTAACCGGAAGGTCCTGGGTTCGAAACCCAGTGGGTGCGTACTGCCGATGATTCCCAAACTAGGATGAAACAGCAGCTGTCCAGTACTCCCTGGTTTTCAATGGTTCACTAACTGATATCAATCCGTGATCAACTCGTAAAAATTGATATGATTATGAACAATAAATTGTGTTCGAAATGTCATCCAGTATACAATACTGTTTCACTGTGTGATACATTTAATAATCAAACTAATATAGAAAGATATCTATGTTTTGGGTGATTTCATTTTCAAAACTAGCTGTACAATCACATTTAAATTCATAATTTTACATGGATAAACTGCTTGTTTGATTCCACATAATAAAGACGGTGAATAAAAGGGGACAATTGTTTTCGAATAGATCTCGTTTACGAGAGGCTTAGAAACAAAGTTAAAACAGGATTAGAACGGATAACAAGTGTGTAAAAAATGAGCATGGAAACAAAATCGAAATAATAATTTTCAACTTGAGATGGGAGTTAGAAGGTGGGAATATAGATTACAAGGGCCCTAGAAACACAAAAATTGTAAGGCAGTTATTTTAAACGAATTATAAATGTTAGCAGGAAAAGCATGGAAACAAACTTAAAATAACTGTTTGTATAATTGAAAAATGGGGTGAATCGAATGAAGACTGAGGGAGTAAGAATCACACACACACACACAGCGAACGAAAAAAGATCAAAAAGAAACATCAAAACGAAAGAAGAAAAAACAGAAGCTTAGGGAATATGATAGTTTTAGAGGTTGGACTAATTCTTTCTGAACAAACAGCTCCGGCTTCTCGATGCATATGTTGAGGGCTTCTGCAGTACAGAGAAGTCGGAAATATACTGCCTTTGGTGGGTTTCTGTTGACTTCGTAAATTACATTTTTTGTAGATTTAGTTGAAAATAACTGTCACCTGTTATTTTAGTTATTTACCCATGTAAAACTATGTATTCAAATGCGATTGTACAGCTACTTTTGAAGATGAAATCGCCGAAAAGACAGATATCTTTGCCGAACTTCTTGTTCTCTTCTTTCTAAAGTGTAATATTTTACTGTTTTCACCCACTATAGTTTCACTGCTTTGATCTTTACTTGCCACGGACACTCCCAAATATTTTCAAAAAACGTAGTATAAATCTTAGTAAAATTGTATCAGAAGAGACCATATTATAAAATGGAAAATAAACTATATAGGTTCCAATATGTGCCATCAGTGTCAGCAGTGATGCAGTTGTTGTTTACGGGGTGGAGTTACTGTCTTCAGTCCTAGCTTTTCTTTTTTAGTGCCTGTTACTAGGTAGGTGGGATTTCAGAGTGCGTCAACCAGATGACCGTAGTTGTAGCATTCAGGTTTCCCGCCTATAATTCAAAATGACTTCCTTACGTATTATTACATGAGTACAAGTGAAGAATTTAGACACTGGTAGAACATCTCTTCATATATGATAAGTTCAGTTTACATAGCAAAAAGTATTACTGTATGTTGATGACTGCATGAGGTGTCCAGCATCACTTATTACTACTCAGAATCGGATAAATGGGTATTCACACAGCTTCCTTGTTTGATTTGTATATTTTTTCACGTCCCCCTGTTTTTCATTGTAATTGTTCATATGTCTTTTAAAGGTGTTGCGTCATTTCCTTGGCACGTGTTCATTGTGTCAACAATGAACAAGTATTAAGTGATTAGTCTCTTACTCTGCCTAACTTTATGACTATTTAACAGCTCCACCTTACCCACCCTATCACATGATTACATGCATGTGAATGCATTGCAGTGGTTAAGTCTTCAAGGTTATTTAACTTGGATTAGATTATTTATTCTACCTGTACTCCAAAAATCTAAATTACTCCAATCTACTGATTTGACCTACGTAATTGACTGTATTACCGTGTTATATAGGATAATATTATTATTCCCTTGAGTTCCGAGTGGATCGTAGGGCTTCAGAACACATGTATGCTTTCTTCTGTTTCCTCCTGTCCTCTTCATTTGGGTCCACGATTGCCCATAATCTCTCATCTGTTCTTGACATGACCTCCGCAATGTCACCCTCGCTTAGATGACCCATTTTTATCACTTCCCA